ACATAGATACACAGATACATAGATACATACATACATGCATGCATGCATACATGCATACATGAATAGATACATACTTGCACATATACATACATACACATACATATATACAGACATACATCAATCAAGACATGCATGGACACATTCATTCACTCATTCATAACTAGACAGAAGGACAGAATAATGGACAAACTGACTGACAGACGGACAGACGATGACAGACGCAACGACGATGATGGGTGGACAGACCATGACATACGGACAGACAGGCAAGCTCGCAGACAAACAAGCAAACATATGCACAGGCATGCATGCATGCGTACAGACATAAATAATATACCTTGTTTTTTGTAAACATTACAATACCGACATTGCAGACAATGCATACATTACAGTACATTACTTACCATTACATACCTAACATGCATTGTATACATACACCACTTACACTACATAAACTACATACATATACTACAGACTTTTGCGTCTATATACAAATGTATATATGTAGAGAGGGAGAAAGAACAACAAAACATAGAGAGACGTATAGATAGATAGATTCTAGATTCTAGATAGATCAATATAGATAGATAGATAGATAGATAGATAGATAGACAGGTAACTTAGGTAGGTAGAGATAGATTATACACATACAGTGTATAGAAGTACACAGTCCATGAATTAAAACGAAGGGTCCTCCGAATGGATACTTTCCAACTGCAGCGGAGAGACTTCTCCTGCCCTGTGCGGTTGGATTTCTCGTTCACGTGGGCTGGCTCGGCCTAGGCAGAAATCTCCGAGTGAGGGCTCAGACGTACCGAGTTCTAGCTTTTGAGCCGCCGGGCCAGAATGCTGCCATAGGGGTCAACACCCACGACCTCGGAGGTTCCGGTGCTTGTCGCCCTGTGCTACCGAGTCATGACCTTGCAACTTGACCCCGCCCTATGAGATGTAACCTGGGCGTGTATCCCCTCGCTAAGGCGTACAAGAACACAGGCACACAGGAGTCTCTTTTACTACAGGCGCACAGCTGTAGATCGTACTCTGCTAGAACCTTGAGCAACAGGCATGGATACATGCAAGTGATACGTGAAA